GAGAGAGAGAGAGAGAGAGAGAGAGAGAGAGAGAGAGAGAGAGAGAAGAGAGAGAGAGAGAGAGAGAGAGAGAGAGAGAGAGACAGACAGAAGAAGAGAGAGAGAGAAAGGAGAGAAGAGAGAGAGAGAGAGAGAGGGAGAGCGAGAGAGGGAGGGAGAGGAAGGGGGAGGGAGAGGAGGGGAGGGAGAGGAAGGGGGAGGGAGAGGAGAGGGAGGGAGGGAGGAGAGGGAGGGTTAGGGAGGAGGGAGGAGGGAGGGAGGGAGGGAGGGAGGGAGGGAGGGAGGGAGGGAGGGAGAAGAGAGAGAGAGAGAGAGAGAGAGAGGAGAGAGAGAGAGAGAGAGAGAGAGAGAGAGAGAGAGAGAGAGAGAGAGAGAGAGAGAGGGAGATAGTGTGTGCAAGTTTGAAATGTGTGTGTGTGTGTGTATGTGTGTGTGGTGTGTGTGTGTGTGTGTGTGTGTGTGTGTGTGTGTGTGTGTGTGTGTGTGAGAGAGAGAGAGAGCAAGGGAGATAGTGTGTGCAAGTTTGAAAGTGTGTGTGTGTGTGTGTGGTGTGTTGTGTGAGAGAGAGAGAGAGAGAGAGAGAGAGAGAGAGAGAAGAGAGAGAGAGAGAGAGAGAGAGAGAAGAGAGAGAGAGGGGGGGGGAAAGAGACGAATAAACAAATACGTAGAGAGATAGAGAGAGAGACGTTTAAGTAGTAAACTCATCTGCCAGTTGAACAGAACGACGCATACGCACAGATGCTGGCACACGACGATCATGTAATTTGCACTTGACATTACTTTCCGTCCCATGATAAGGATGCTGCTACGCCACTCGCAAACGAGTTTTCAGTCATATACAGAATAACCCATTATGTAATATAAAACCTCCATCTAAGGATCTGAATATCAACACAAATCATTCTTGATTGAGAATATATTTTCGCAAATATTTACATTCATCTGGTGGAGAGGCAGAGGTCGCAGGAGAAGGGAGGAGAAGGGCGAACTGTGCTAAGGGAAAGGAAATGGGGGAGAAGGGGAGAAATGTGTAGAGGGTAAAGGAGAGGAGGGTTAAATGATATAAATGTAGACGGGAAAGGAGGGAAAAGGGGAGATGCATGTAGAGGGAAAAGGCAAAGAAGGAAAACTGGGAAAGTACGTAGAAGGGAAAGGAAAAAGGGGGAAAGAGAAAGGAAATGGGGAGGGTGAAGGGGGGGGGTATGCTGAAGTTAAAGGAAAAGGAGGGAGCAGGAGAGAGCTGTGGAGAGGGGAAAGGAGGGGTGAAGGGAGATATATGTAGACGAGAAATAAAGAGGAGAAGGGGGAAGAGGGTAGGGAAAAGGAGTCGAAGGAGAGAAGTATGTGGAAGGAAAACAAGGAAGGAACAGGAGAAGATATGCTGAAATTAAAAGAAAAGGAAGCAGAAGAGGATAAATCTGTAGAGGGAAATGGAAGAAGGGAAGAGGGGA